TTACATGGATAGACTGAGAAGCTGGGGCTGTTCACCTGAGAAAAGGTGGTGGGGAATTCAACAGAAGAAGTGTTAAAAGTTAAGGTCCAAAGGGAACAGTTGAAATTGGGAGGAAAGATCAAGCAGAGAACAGATTTAGAAACAGTTTGCAAAAGAACACAAAAGGCAAAGTAAAACACTTTACATAATATTTTGATATTAAAGTGTGCTGTCTTTCAACCAGTCTTAAATAAAATCAAGAAATCTGAGCTTCAAAATAATGCAAGGAAGGGACAGTTTGGAGAGAACTGAGAAAGGGTCATTGCAAATATTGTTAAAGTGTTAATAGTGCTACAGCAAGGCCTGACTATTTCAAAGTTAGCAGTAAAATACTGTCCTCTTGTCATTTGTTAATCATTTTGTTACAGATGTATTGGGTATGATGTGAAGCTCAGAGCACTTCCATCCCAAAAGGACTTGCAATAAAGTGTGATCTACGAGGCTAATCCTGTAAAAAGTCTCAAACGAGGAACAGAATTAAATTTGTCAGATTATAGACTGCCCCAGGATTTGTTGATAACTCACTGTAGTATGATCTACGCCAAGATACTAAACCTTACAGAAGTACTCAAGTGGGACAGCATTGTGACTTTAGTTAGCACTGCTGCCTCACACTAGGGACCGGGGCTCAATTCTACCCTCAGGTGACTGTGCAAACTCCACACATTCTCCCCATGTCTGTGTGGGCTTCCTCCAAGTACTCCAACTTCCTCCCCCAGTCCAAAAGATGGGCAGTTTAGGTGGATTGACTATGCTAAATTGTCCCATAGTGTCCAGGGACTTGTAGGTTAGGTGAATTAGCCATGGGGAACGCAGGGTTATAGGATAGGGGGATAGATCTCGACTGGATGCTCTTCACAGGGTCAGTGTAGACTATATGGGCTGAATAGCCTGTTTCCATACTGTGTGACTGGGTGCAAGTACAATCATAGAATTACGAGTGAGGCCTTGGTCAACACTAAAGTATTATCATCTATACAAACATAACTAGAAGAAAGGTGAAGATTTCAGTTCAAGATAACGGAAGCATCTGACCATGCTATATTTGAACTTGCAGCTTTACAAAAAGGTCTTTGGTAGCGTTTCAAATTGCTTCTTTTGAAAACTGTTAAACATATTAGTAGAATGGTTATCTATAAACACTAGGTAGCACAAACTTAAGTAACCTTCTCAGAAAGAAAGCCTTAATATTAGATTAAATGACCATCAGAACAAACAGCCACCATCTAAAAAGAATAAAGCTTGAGCTGTTCTTCCATGTCTTTTTCTGACATGTCACCAAAAGTCTCCTTTTTTTCTTTCATTAACTTGAAGATGGCAGCCAGTTGCTTTCGCTGGACCCTAGAGTGGAAAGCAGAATGTACAATTTAGTGAGATACTAGTGCTTGAATAATAATGCTTACCAAGATTGCATGAATGCTCCATAACTCATTCCATCATGCAGTCTTTGGCTCTCCTAATAACCACAAAAAAACATGAGATTTGTGTCCACATGCTCTGTCTGGTTTTTAAAAAAAATGGTTTCCACGTTATTTGATTGCATATCGGCTTAGCACCAAAAAGCAGGCTGGTAATAAGCCAGCTTGAGCAACTGAAGTTTGAGTGTATTTGCAAATCTGTTCAGCCTTTTAAAAAAAAAACACTAAAAATATTATTCAGACTGCAATGCACTTGCATTGCTAACATTTATCAGCCAAATTACCAAAGGGAATCTGGCTCTAAAGCACAATCTCCCAACATGAGCACAAAATGAACTGTAGTGCAGTGAAATTGAAGAAATTAGCACATCTATCTCCAACAGGCATATCTGAGTCAACAATTCATTGCAAAAGATGTTAAATATATTTGCATAAATATGTATTATTGGTTTGTGCAACACTCAAATCATAGGTAAAAGTTAGATACACTGTTTGTAGGAGAGCTTGGTTTTCAGGTACGTAAAAGTTGGACTAGTTTGTGCCACTCCCAAATTTTGCTGTTTTCCTTCTGGTTCAAAAAGTGTGGCCATTCATGATAGATTTTACATTTAACGTAAAATGGCAAATACACAATTGACTTGTCCTTCAATCTTCAGGATTGAAAAGAAACTTTGGCAGAATTTCAACAGGTCACAATTACTTTCAACAATGGCAAATCCTGAAAGGTGCTCTATAAAATGGAAGTTCTTGGTGAAACCAAAGTACTTTAAAAGCCAAAGTACTTCTGAAGTGTATTGCCTGCTTATAATGGAGAAACTAAATGACCAATTGGAACAAAGCAAGGTCCCATAAACTCCTAGATGCGGTACTGAGATTGTACACTCAAATCCCTGGAGCAGGACTTGCAGCCACAACACTCCACCAATAGAAGCAGAATGCAACATACCTAATCACTAATGGAACAAGTGCAGAAAGCAGTTTACACAATTTCCATTGATAAACTGCCACCATTCCATGTGTTCATTTGTTGAAAAATTTCACAAGGCACCAGAACGGCACCTTCCTCATCCTACGTGTTGTAACAGCAACCAAACTCCAATCACTCTGCTCTACAGCATTCAATGCCAGTACAAATTGTCAAAAGTTGAGATTTGGCCTTTTTGGCTTAGCGTCTATTATGCCTACACTAACTATTTAAACAAATTCAACATTGCTTCTATTCCAATCTCAAGGAAGACTCTAGGACCAGGCAACAGGATCCCAGAACAAGGGTCACCCAATCAGTAATGAGGAATTTCTTCCCAGAGGTTGCAAGTCTGGAGTTATTAACAATTCAGCCTCAACAGCCCTTTGTTGTGAAGAATCTTCAAGATGGAGAGGGATTTTTTTCATAAAAGGAAAAGGAATTGAAGGTGATGGTCAGGTGGGGAAAGGCAGGAAAAATGCAATTGAGGATCAGATCAGTTATGTTCTCATTTAAACAGTGGGGAATTGTGGTTAGAATGGCCCACTTTTCCTATAACTTGAGGGTTCTTCAACAGTGAGCTGTCACATGAAATTTGGCATTGATAGTAATTACCATGAGCTCAGCTGCAATTCATGCCATGTTTGATAACCAGTTACCACCCAAAATCTGATAGCTGTTCTTTTGGTAATAATTAATTTCCATTTTATGATTAATTGAGAGAATTCAACTTAGATTAGTCACTGTAACAATACATGACACAAGAGGACGAAATATGGAAAATGTCACCAAGTACAAGGTGAATAGCTGCAAGTTATTCTGAATTTACATAACATCTTGTCATAGTTGATCTGAATTACTTATCCCTTTATTTCTTTTCCCATCTAGGTAGAAGGGGCAGAAAAATAAAATGAAGTCAGTTGTGTAATGAACCTCGTGGTTAGAATGCAGAGGTAATTCACAAACTATTGTTGAAGTTGTTCAAGACCTATGAATGGGATTATATTTCCCACCCCCCGCCGCCCCGCAAGGTGAGGCTAGCCGAGCTAGCCTGAACATGATTGACTGGTTAACTCATGCAGGAATTGCAGACATATGGAGCCAGCACAGGCTGGTAAACCACCATCTTGTTTTGTTACAATCTTCACATTATCACCGTCAGTATTAGAGACAACAAGGTGCAGAGCTGGATGAACACAGCAGGCCAAGCAGCATCATAGGAGCAGAGAGGCTGACGGTTTTGGGCCTAGACCCTTCATCAGAACCACCGTCAGTATTAGCTTCAGTTTGATCTTGGGACAGACATCAGATGGTTCCTTTAATGGTCATCTGCCTACAATGATGAGAGTTCTGATGCACAATTCCTGATACAGAGCTTAGATTCTTGAAATAGTCAAATTTAAATATATTTACTTAAACATCTAGCACAACTTCCAATAATTCCAGGTCAATTGCATTGCAGCTCAAAAATTCTGAATTTTCCCATTGAATATTAGCAAAGTAAAAACCAGCGAGTTGCTAAAAACAGGCTTAGTGCTAAATTTTGACTTTGCGGTCACATTGAGTAACCGGTTTTTTCCCCTACCCTTACGGCAATATCTGACCCCCTGCCCCCACCACTCCCCACAGTATTAACTGCGTGTTATAGCTACTGGTTGCAAGCTGGAATGGATTCCACAGGCAGCATCTGTGAAGAAAAAAAAAAAATCAGTTAGTTAATGTTTCAGGTCTGGTGACCCTTCCTCAGACAGAAGGAGGAAGGGTCACTGGACCAGAAACATTAACTGATTTTTCTTCACAGGTGCTGCCAGACCTGCTGAGCTTTTCCACCTGTTTCTGTTTCCGTTTCCGATTTACAATGTCTGCAGTGTTTTGTTTTTGATTCCACAGGTAGTCATTCTTCACATGACGAATCATGTAGCAGCCATCTGCACCTGATTCTCTCCACACCTAGACTACCTGTCAGCAACACTAAGTGGATCAGAAGCAACTGTTCAATATCCTCCATCTCAAGCTATGCTACGATGTGAAAGTACTGGTGTTGGACGAGGGTAGACAAAAATCAGAAATCACAACACTAGATAATAGTCCAACAGATTAATTTGAAATCATAAGCTTACAGAGAACATCACATCAACTAACTAATTAAAGAATTAAATTGAACAGAAGCAAATAGTTAGTTGGTTGTATGTGGTAGGCTCTGCAAGTCTGATTTCAGATTAACTTTGACTAATAATCTGGTGTTGGGTGACTTCTGAAGGTATGCTTGATACCAAAGATCAGACCAGTTTACTGGCATGCATGGCCACTCCACATGCACCTCTTCTACAAACATTGGCTGCTTTATGGACTTGTAGGGTAGACTGCAGCAACTCCCCATGGTTATTTCAAGAGCACTTCCACTCCCCCCATGACAGGTAAGAGTGGGAACAATCACCTCAAAAGTGTCACTTTTAAACCACCTACTCCAACTTGGATACGGGATTATCTGCATTAAAAACTGTTAAGGTGAAGTGTTTATATTAATAGGAAGGGATAGGGCCTTGTGCTGAAGAAAAAAAAGTGAACCACCACACAACTCTAGTAATCGAGACTTTATTGAACATGGTCAAAAAAGGTAGAGACATATGTAATAGATAAAGCAAATGTTGCCATTTCAAAATTACAAATCCATCTTGAACTAAAACATCCCCAGAAAAAGAGTTAATACACTACAACCCTGTTAAATTCCGCTTTAAGGCTTAAACAAACCAAACAATTTTGCATTGTTCAGAGAAACAAAAAAAAAGGGTTGTCCTGCATTAGTTACACCAAGATATACAGTTTGCTGTGCACTAACTTTAACATTGTGTTTGATAGTCTGCAATATGTAGCTCTTAACTGAAAGTACAGTGAATTAAGTGACTAAATTAAATGTATACTATTGTATTAGACTCTACTGCAACATCTATTACAGAATCTTCAACAGCACCTCCCTACTGAGGATAAACTTGTCGGTATTTTTTGGCTTGACATCTGAAAATTCAAGCCCACAGCCACTTAATTCCTTCGCATGCATGAAAGGCTCTCCCGATTGGTTCTACTCATCTGCTCTGTAAAGAAAAAAAAGTTGTGTTAAAAATCAAACTGAACAGCGAGACATGCAATTTTGTTTTGTTTTTCTGAAGAATTCCTGTAAGTTGCTAATCCACTCAAGGTGAAACCCAAAGCAAAGCACTCAACATTAAAAAAAAATCACATTGCATCAAGTAGCAGTGTGTTGCCCCAACTTTAAGCATTTCCCCACAGTATCTTGCCTGGAAGCAGTGACTCATTATGGATTCTCTGCAATCATCTGTCAATCTCCCTGTTTTACAAAGTAACTAGAGGGTTAACATGGTCAAGCTATTCAAGTGGGAAAATGAAAATGAAAAAAAAAAAAATCAGCAGAATGAAGCCCAAACCCATTTCTGGGCAATGCCCACACCTACACACACGTACTTTGCCAGGAAGTATCCTGGATAAAATTTTCCCTCTGCCCAATATTTGAGCTGAACTATAATCTCTCCTATACTTTACTCAACCAAATACTTCTTGAACTTCTGCCAGATTACCTGGCTTTCAGCTTAGAAAAGACTAAATTTTGTTGCATGGTTAGACCACTAATGAACCTATAATTCTAAAATCCCACAAATACATTTTCTAACTGAACTTGCAAATGCCATTCCAAAGCAAAGTTATTAAATGCTCCTTTTAAAATAACCAGATTCTCACTCATGCATGATTAGGACTCCAACCTGAAAGTTGTAATGTAATTTCACTTTTTTTAAAAACAGGCCAAGTATGTTCCAACTGATGATTTGAAGACAGTTCACTTCCTCACAGCAATTAGTGACAAAAAATGCTGAACTAGCCAGTGATGTCACATCCTGCCAAAGTGCTTTTAACTCAAACTGTTCACTTGTGGCATGTGGCATGACTGGGCAGCATTTATTGGCCGTTCCTAGCTGCCCTTGAGAAGTCAGTGTTGAGCTGCCTCTTGAACCGCTGCAATCAGTGCACTGTAGTTAGACATGCAAGACCATTAGGAAGGGAATTCCAGGATTTTGACTCAGGAGCAGTGGCCTATTTAAGTCAGATGGGGAGCAGCTTGGAGAACTTGCAGTTGGTGGTGTTCCCTTGCATCTGCTGCCCTTGTCATTCTAGATTACACAAATTGGAACTAAAAACATTTTCATGATAGACTGCAAGAATAAATGCAAAACTAAGCATAACTTTGAAAGGATCAATTAAAAATGGATTAGTGACTGATATACACCTCAGCTTAGTCTAATTTTTAAAAAAACTTCAGGTTTCCACCTTAAAATAAGTCATTAAAGACCAGTAAAACTTGATCCAAACAAAAAAAAGTCAGCCATGATACCTAATCTGTTTAAAAGGCCCTCCAGAATTAGAGATAACAAGGTTTAGAGGACGTTTTGGGCCTAGACCCTTCACCCTTTTCTGGAGAGGGGTCTAGGCCCAAAACGTCAGCCTTCCTGCTCCTCTGATGCTGCTTGGCCTGCTGTGTTCATCCAGCTCTACACCTTGTTATCTCAGATTCGACAGCATCTGCAGTTCCTACTACCTCTAGAAATACATTCTGGTTAAGGTCAAATCGTTATTTTGGGTTGATAGATGTCATGTCTTTTTAAAAAGACAACAGGGCAAAGAACTTGCATGTTATTGTCTTCCTGAGCAATAAGTAGATTTGAAAAGCAGTAGAAAGTTAAAGTTTTGCCAAACTTTAAAGTTCATTATTATGGATCACCCTATGGCAATGTGACGAAGTACAAAGATATTGATCAATATATGTGTCCAACACAAAACTAAAGTTAGTCTATTGAGATTTACAAAAATATTGAAATCCTATGGTCAAAGCACTAAATGCCACAAATGACGAACTGCTCCAGGTCAGATGGGTGTCCCCTCAAAAAAGTCCTCATTAAGAAATCCACATAGGAAGGTAAAACAAATTCAAAAAAGGTACCACATTATCACACGTGTTTAAAGAGAGAAACTTGTGCATGGAGGATATCCCCATCTAAATTTTGGTTAAATGCATTGAAGCCAATGTGGCTGGCCATTAAACTACTTCATTATTTTGCAATACTTCTGTTCTCAATCCGACATAAGCAAGGATTTCAGACTTGAAGAGTAGAATTCTTGCACTTATGTTAACATCACGGCCTCAAGGTGGCAGAAATCAGAGCAGATAAATCTTGGGATTAGCCAAACTAGCACACTGTAGCCTCCAAATTGAGCAAATTCACCATTGCTCATCATCTCAAACAGCAATTTCATTTACCAAATTAGTGTTCAAAGGTCAATATTGCCCACAAATCACTTGCAATACAAGAGTTATATCTATTAGCAAATCCCAATTTTGTGTTTTTTTTTTTAAATTCTCCCAGGAGGCCGATATTAATGTTTGTGGAACACTTAGAGTCTGGAAGATGGATACATCTTTTAGAAGATTCCCTCAATTTATAATTACTGAAATTACATTAAAGGGAAGTAATATTCTACTGTTAAAGAAGTGCCATTTATTTTCCTCTTATAGGTGCTAGCCTAAGATTTTACATACTTTGAAATGTAATTTAATCTTCCAGATGTTAAAAGGGAAAACAGCAAACACATTTGAATAAAACATGGATATTGTAAAATTCAAACCTAGGACTTACCAGAAGATTCTTTGCATCCTAGAAAGTATGCATCATCAAGCTAAGAAAAACAAGGTCAGAGCAGCAAAATAATGTGGACAAACATGCAGGAAAATGCTGGCACAGTGCAACAGGGACAGGAGGAAAAATGAATGTGAAGCATCATCTTCAAGTCAACTGTGTCCCAGCTGTTAAGTCCCATTAGTAAAGCTTTAACAGGCAACGTTAATTTGTTTATACACAGATCCTAAAGTTGTATTGAACCAAACCAATGACTTCAAAGTACTTAATTAACCATAAAGTGCTTTGGGATGTCATGAGGTCATTGGAAGTGCTGTAACAAAATCTTTTCCTCACACAGGAGATGATTTGCCTATTAACAGGTGTTAATTAAGATCAACAGGTTAGGGCTCATGGTGCAGTGGTGCTGCCCAGAAGGCTTGGTTCAAGTCTCAGCTGCCCGGAGGTGTCATAACACATCTGACCAGGTTGGTTAAAAAATCTTGGAACATCACAGGAAGGTCATCTTTGAATGCATTTGCAAACACCTCGGCTCAAAAAATGTCTCCTCAACCCTCATCCATTTCTTCTCCTTTTTGGGAGGTGGGTTTGCAGCTTTTTTTTGTTAAAGAAGCCCCTGCAAACCATCTCACCAAATCCTTCAATAGGTGATACAATCACTTCATGTCAGTACCTTCAACACTTGTCTCAATCTAGGGAGGATTGAGTCTCAGAAGCATAATTAGAAGGATTCATCAATATGCACAATAATCAGCACCAATCCATTAAAAGCTTCAATGAACAAAATAGAAACTATTAACATAGGAACACAAGAACAGGAATGGACTCGTCCCTCAAACCAGTTCCAGAGAGATAATGGCTGATCTGTGACCTAACTCTATATACCTGCCTTTGGCCCATATCCCCAAATGCCCTTAGTTTTAAAATATCTCATTCAAAGTTAACTGATGTAGCATCAATTGTTGTTTGTTGAAGAGTCCACCATACAGAACGTTGTCAAACACCTTGAAGTCTGCACATATATATTGTTATACCAAATTCAAAACATGTCAAACTTGCACTGTTGAGTATTTTCCAATTAAGTCTTCGTTACAAAAACATCTGCTACATTTCAAATAGCAGCTCCTGAATTCCTGCAGTCTTAACTTAAAACTTCCACATTAGTTTGCAGGAAATCATAGAAATCAGAATCTGTACAGTGGGGAAACAGGCCATTCAGCCCAACAAGTCCAAACCAAACTGCACCCCCCAAGAGCATCCCACCCTGACTCATTGCCCTTACCACTGCGTTTCCTCATATCTAACCCAAACATCCCTGGTCAAATAGGCCATTCAGCACGGCCAATCCACCTACGCTGCACATCTTTGGACTATGGGAGGAACCGAAGCACCTGGAGGAAACCCACGTAGATCTTTACCGGTTTTCCTCCTTACCAGTCATACGATTGTGTCTCCAACCCCTCAAGTCTGCTCCACTGTTCAACAGAACACACTATTTGACTAGGCAACATGCCTGCTGATTAAGACAGGTGGATGAAGATATCAAAAACCTATCCACTTAAATGCAAAATATGTTTCCATTATAAGCGTGTACCCCCTCATTCTCAAAACATGACTTTGCTATGACCAACTCAAGAGGCTAATAAATAAATGTCATAACAGGCCTGGAGTTGTTAACCAAACTGAAATATATACATGCCATTTTCCAAAGTGGCAAAAAAAGGTTTATTTTTAAAAAACACCTGTTATGACTAGTCAAAAAAAACCAAAAAAAGTTTGACACCATTCAAAAACTTCTGAAAACACCAAGTAGATGCACAGCTCAAAGTTTAGTTTCTACGTGCATTTTGCTTTTCAGAGAGATCAGACAATAAGTAACTGCAAAATTTTAATCATGAACACTTGTCAAATTCCATTTGTCCATAGCTTTGAGAGCTCTCCTAGACTCATTGTAATCTGAATATCTGTGGACATGAGTCCAGGATTTCTGACAAGCCTGAGAACTTTTATTCCTGCACTATCCATAAGCTTTTACTTCTATGAGATCAGCAATTCCTACCACCTCAGTACACAAAAGCACCAAATAAAATTTAGTTTTCCCTTCATATTCTCACCTCTTGGGTGGCCTGAATCTCAATATTGTGGCAGGGAAACTCAAACACTGCCAATAAACACATCACACCATAGCATACTGCTTTGGAAGCAAGTTGATGTTTAATTACCGAGTTAAGGGTGTCCTAACACTGCAAACATTCAGTGAGCTCCTGAGGCAGTTTAAAGTAGTTAAACACATGCTGAACACTGCATACAAAAAAAAGTGTAGCAGCACTTTAAATTCAACTCCTTTTAATCTAATCACGCCAAACAAACTACCTTTATTAGGGACCTGC